CTAAACATTAAAACAGAAACACTAAATCTCCTGAAAAAGAAAGTAGGTAGAAATCTTGAAGACATAGGAGTAGGCAGTTTGGGAACAAAAAACAAACTGCATGGGTAATACTCCAAAGAATCAACAACTGGGATCTCATCTTAGAGAAGCTTCTGTATGTTAAAAGAAATCACCAACAGAGTGAAAAAACAACCCACAAATTGGGAAAAATCGTGACTAACAATCACTCAGACAAAGGACTTTTATCTAAACTATATAAAGAACTAAAAAAAAAAAAATTGGCCCTCAAAATTTAAAGATCCAACCCAAAAATGGGCATCTGAGATGAATCTATACTTCTGAGAGGAAGAAATACAAATGGCAAATAAATACATGAAAAAATGTTCTGCAGCACTGGTCATTTGAGAAATGCAAATTAAAACAACATTGAGATACCATCTCGCCCCAGAAAGAATGACATCATAAAGAAATCAACTAATAACAAATGGTGGAGAAGATGTAGGAAAAAAAGAACACTTTTCCACTGCTAGTGAGAAAATAGACTGGTACAACCACTATGGCAATCAGTGTGAAGGCTCCTCAAAAAACTAGGACTGAAAATCACATTCAATCCAGCTATTCCCCTTCTAGGTATTTTCCCAAAAAACCTGAAAACATCATACCATAGTGATATATATATATACAGGCACATTTATAGTAGCACAATGTGTCATAGCCAAATCTTGAAAACAACCAAAATGACCATCACCTGAGGAACAGATGAAAAAGATGTGATATTTTTATATAATTGAGTACTACTCAGCTATAAAGAAAGACAAACTCAAAGCCTTTGTAGGAAAGGAAATGCAATTAGAGGTTATACTCATAAGTAAAACAAAGAAGACCCACATGCCTAGTATTGTCTCCCTAGTGTAAGAGCATGAAAGAATAAATAAAACTTGAAAGTTATAACAGATATAGTAAAATGGAAAGAGAATGAACTTAAGAATTAAACAACAACGATGAGAAAAAAGAGAAAAGATATGAGAAAAGGAAAGGAGAAAAACATGCAAGTAAATATACAGGATGGTTGAGTTGATTGTACTAATAATTTCCATCATTTTTTGAAAATAGCAGTTAATGTTTAGAATTTTCACCTTGACTAACTTTGTATCTTGATATCTGTGATCTACACAACTATGTTGAGGATAGCAATGTGTAATACAAAACCCATGATTGAATACCTCTCATCTTGGTCTTCTAAATGTGTACCATTTTTCATGTCCTATCAGTTATTATACTTTCCCTAAAATATTTTTTAAAAAAACAAGGAAAAAAATTAAGATTTTTTGAAAGCAAGTGTTAATATTTAGTTATTTGTTCAATTTTGCATAACTATTTCTGTAAATCTGAACAAGATTTGATGATAAAAATAGATAATATAGTATTCATTGTTAGCTATTCCTGTTTTGAAAATCTGTAACATATTATTGTATGTTACCCTGTTTCTGTCTTTTCTCTATTTGTTTTTCCTTGTTTTTATGCTTCAAAATACAATAAAATTGAATTTAAAAAATAAATAAAGTCAGTACTCAAAGACCAATAGTATTTTAATACACAAACAATGAATGCGCCAAGATAGAAATTAGGGAAATCATGCTTTTCACAATAACACCTCCAAAAATTAACTGTGGGAATCAATCTCACCAAGGAAGTAAAAGATCTATACAGTGAAAATAACAGTACTCTGAAAAAAGAGATTAAAGAGGATATTAGAAAATGGAAAGATACTCCTTGCTCATGGATAGGAAGAACCAACATTGTGAAAATGGCTATACTTCCAAAATTGTTATATAGATTCAACATAATCCTAATTAAAATACCATAGATCTAAAATTCTTCTGGAACCAGAAGATACATAGAAGAGCAAAATCAATCCTGGGCAATAAAATAAAAAGAAGGAGTCACTACAAACCCTGACTTGAAATTATGCTACTAAGTGACTGTGATACCGCATGGTAGTAGCAAATCAATCAATCAATCAATAATAAACCTGAGGATCAATGGAACAGATTACAAGATGCAGATACAGGGCCAGCCAAATATCTCAGTGGATAAAAGCACCTGCTTAGTCAAAGTGCAGCAATCGAGGTTCCATCCCCAGTGTGCTGTGTCGGCCCTGGCCCCAGGGTGTGCTGAGACTGCAACTGCAGTGGCAGATGCCTGTAATCCCAGCACTTATGAGGCTGAAAACAGGAGAATCACGAATTTGATCTGAGTAGTGAGACCCTATAGACCCTGTACTAATTACATTTTTTTTTAAAAAAAAAAAAAGAAGAAGATGCAGATACAATTACAAACACACTCAGCCACTTTATCTTTAACAAAAGGGTCAAACATGTTCACTGGAAGAAAGATAGCTTTTTTAATACATGGTGCTGGAAAACCTGGCTTTCCACATGCTGAAGGCTAAAATTAGAACCATGCCTCTCACCATACACAAAACTACAGTCAAAATGGATCAAAGACTTAAATATTAAAATGAAAAAACTAAATCTTCAGGAGGAGAAAGTAGATAGAAATCATAAAGACATAGGGGTAGGTAAAGAGTAGATGAACAAAAACTAAACTGCACAGGAAATAGTTAAAAGAATCAACAATTAGGATTGCATCTTTTTGAAAAGTTTCTGCCTATCAAAAGAAATCACCAACAGAGTAAAAAAAAAAAAGAATCCATGAATTAGGGAAAAATTGTAGCTGACTGTCCCTCTGACAAAGGACTTCTATCTAGAACATACAAAGAATTTTTTAAAAATCAGGCTTCCCAAATTCAAAGATCTAATCCAAAAATGGGCATACACTTCACAAAAGAAGAAATCAAAATGGCAAATAAATATATGAAAAAGTGTTCAACATCACTGGTCATTCAAGAGATGCAAATTAAAACACTGAGATTCCATCTTATGCCAGGAAGAATGGTTATCATCAAGAAGCCAACCAATAACAAGTACTGGAGGGGCTGTGGGGAAAAAGGAATCCTTGTCTACTATTGGTAGGAGTACAGACTGGTACCACTATGGATATCAATGTAGAGATTTCTTAGAAAGCTAGGATTAGAGGTCCTGTTCAACCTAGATATTCCCCTCCTAGGTATTTTTCCAAAACTGAAATCATCATACCACAGTGATATATGTACAGCCAGGTTTAGAGCAGTGCAATTTGTCATAGCTAAATCTTAGAAACAACCCAAATGCCCATCAACTAAGGAATTGATAAAGAAGATGTGGTATTATTACACAACTGAGTATTACTCAGCTATATAAAAGATAAATTTGAGGACTTTATAGGTAAATGGATGCAACTAGAGACTGTATTAGTAAGTGAAACAAATCAGACCCACATGTGCAAACATGGTATTGTCTTGCTAGTGTGAGAACCTGAAAGAGTAAATAAAATATGGAAGGTACAGTAGATACTGTGAAATGGAAAGAATCTGTTCAATGGGATAAAAAACTGAGATGAGGAAAAGGACAAAAGAAAAAAGGGGAAAAGATATACTCGTGTATATATGTAAGATAGTTTGGATAACTGTACTGCTGATTTCTGCTCATCTATTGAAAGGAGTAGTTGATACTTAACTTTTTAATTCTAAATTTCTTATGACTTCTTTTTAAAACCAGTTTTTCAGGTTTATATCCGGTAACCTAAACAACTAAATTGAAGATAACATTATGCAATACAACAACATTGTTGAATTTCTATTACTTTGTTTAATGTTCAGTGCTATAAATTAGGTGTTCCTTCCTAAAAAGTATGGCTTTGGAAATGAACATAATTTTGCATCTTGCTATTTGGAATGTTGTTTATACTGACAAAGCAAATAAAATTTGTCTACTAATTTTGTGGTCCTCCCATAATAAGCATAGCATAAAGATGGGAAAAGGACATATTTTTCCATCTCAAATATCTTTTCAATATCTACAATATAAAATAAGAGCAAGCTTCTATCCATGGCAATCTTTTACTGAATTTATATTTTTCCAATGTTCACTTCTTCTCCCTTCTTTTTTCCTCTCTCTTTTATTCTTCAATCTTTCCACAACTCATATGGGCACCTGGTTCAGAAATCTAGGGATAGAGGTGAGGTTGGCGTATAGCTTAGGATGCATGAGGCTCTGGATTCAATCTCCATTTTTTTTTAAAAAAAAAAGAACCTTAGGAAAAGCATTCACCAGAATCCCATTATTAAACAACAGGTAGAACTATACTATGATAGTAGAATACTTGCTTAATGAGCAGTAAGTCCTAGGTTCTAGTCCCAGTAGTGCAAAACAACAAGAAAACCCTGGTGTCCAAGACTACACAGAGTAGGACTCACACCACAGATTGTCCCTAAAACCATCAAAACATTTAGTGTTAAATCATAATATCATGATTCCCATAAATCTTAGGGATATTCTATGTACATTATTCACATATTTTAAAATATCCAAGTAGTAAATCTTCACACAAAAATAAGATATTGTTCAGAAAACCTATTGATTAAAAGCCTTTCTCTTTTTAAAAATATAAAACCAGTAGTTCTATTTATTTTGGTAGAAATATAAAAAGGATATCTTACCATGTAAGATATGTAAGTACAAATAACAGTATATAAGTAAAAATGCTTGGGAGAAGTAAATATTTTTCTCAGAAATTTTAGAATTCTAAATTGAGCATTTAAGCTGAGTAACACCTAACAACTAATTGCTAAAACATTCAAAATATCATTAAAGTCTCTCTTCATTTAAATAAATTTAAAATTTAGTGCTGATATGATACTTTTGCATATTACATTGTAATGAAACACGCATCTAGGTGTGATGAAGAGTCAATTTTGTGAGGGAACAAACAAGTAGCTATAGCCAGAGTCATCACAACTCAAAAAGTTATGTGAAGGGATTCACTGAGAGGTAGAATGATCATATTAGAGTATGTGACACCCCATTTTGAAGATGTTACACCATCTGAATAGTACTCACATTGTCTTGGGTTTCGGAGTAAACTCCTAAGTGTTTGTGAACTTTGGTCATAGAACTCTTCCAGCAAGGCCAATGTTCTCTGTCGATCCAAAATCCCTACCTAAGCAAGAAGGTTGTATTAGTAGTTATAGGAAATTGAAGACTTTAATGTAGACAAAACATGGTTTTCTGAAGCTTTTATCACCACTATCACCACCACTACCATCACCACCATAATCTCCACACAAGTGAAAGCTGCATGCCGAGTGTGGTGGCACTTGTGTATAATCTCTGCACTCTGAAAAGCTGAGGGAGGAGGATCTTAAGATTGAATCTAGCCTGCTCAACTCCATGACTTGGCAAGATCCTGATTCAAAATAAAAGAATAGAGAAAGGGGATAGAGATGTAGCCTAGTAAAAAGGCTACATGCTTAATCCTCAGCATAGCATGAAAACACACACACACACACACACACACACACACATATATAACTTCTTTTTATGGTTATATGGCATAGTAGAATATGAAAAAGCTATTAATTTATTAACATTCCTTTATTTTTAGGTTATTTTACTATTTTGATACTAAAATAACATTGCAGTGGTTATCTTTATTCATATCTTTTTGCATACATTTGCAAACACTTCTGTAAGGTAATTAAATGTTCTGTGGAAGTTTCATGTAGAGAGACAGGGCACCAATGCCTTCTTCTCAGGAAGCAGCTTAATTCTTGTTGGCACTCACTCAGCAGATTCTTATCCAAAGGCTGAGAACTGAACCTGGCATAATTGCACTCTTTTACACAATTCTTGTGTCTTTGTCTCCCTTACATGGCTTACATTAAGATTCTACAGTTTGGCTAGGTATGATTTATGTTGCAGAGTTATATCAGAACTATGAGGGCCAACCAGATAGCTCAGTGAACTAAAGCACCTGCTTAGGCAGAGTACTAGCCCCGCCCCTGGGTGCTCTGAGACAAAGATTGAGACTGGGTGTGGTGGTGTGTGCCTGTTATCCCAGCACTTGGGAGGCTGAAAGCAGGAGAATCACAAGGAGTATGATTTGTGTAGTGAGACCCTGTAGACCCTGTCCTAAATACATAAAAAAGAAAAAAAAACCTACATATGTGTACACAGAGGCTGATATTACTACACTGTAAAAAGTTCCCAGGATGAGCCTTACCATGAGTAGAATTGCAAGTCATATAATATATACATTTTCAATTTTATTAGCTACTGCCAAATTGCTCCATAAATTGCCCACACCAATTTACAGTTCTGCCAGTACTAAGAGTGTCTTATTATTTCTCCATATCCATACCAATACTTGATATTGTTAGGATTTATACTTTTTCCAATCTCATAGTCAGAAAATGGTATTTTATTTTAATCTCATTTCTTTCATTAGTGAGACTGAATATATTTTGATATGTTTAATATGCGTTTCACTTTCCTCTTTTGTGAGTGGCTTTTTATTTCTTTTGACCTTTCTTTACAGTTGACCTTTCTTTCACAAGCCTGGTGGTCTCTGCTGGTACTCCCCCCTCCCATATGTCATATGTGTTATACTATCACTGGCTCTTTATTTTCTGGATCTCTCTCTCTCTCTCTCTCTCTCTCTCTCTCTCTCTCTCTCTCTCTCTTTCTTTCTTTCTTTCTCTCTCTCTTTCTTTTGTATTTAGGACAGGGTCTACAGAGTCTATAGGAACTCTCACTGCATAGATTGGACTCATAGTGATCCTCCTGTTTACAGCCTGCCAAGAGCTGGGATTACTACGCCCAGTCTCAATTACTGTCTCAGTGCACCCCAGGGGTGGGGCCAGCATGGCAGGCCCAGGGATCAAACTTCTGGCCCCTGCATCTGCTGAAGCAGGTGCTTCAATCTGCTGAGCTATTTGGCCGGCCCTCTATTTCTTATTAATTTGTAAAATATTGTTAAAGTCATTCTATTATGTAGTTAATATCATTTGTCAGTTTTTCTCATTTCTTAGTTTAGCTTTTGGTGAGTCTAGTCATATTAATGTTTTTAATTTTGAAATGGTCAAGTATGTGAATCGCTCTGTCTATGGTTTGTGCTTAGAGTATTCTTTAATAATCATTTATATTGAGGTCAAAAATATATGCTCAATATTTGCTTCTAAAACTTTTAAAAATTTGCTTTCTACATCTGCATTTCAGATCATATAGAACTCATTTTTCCCCAGTAATTGAGTTAGAATCTAATTTTATTTTTTTCCAGTATGAAAGGCAATTGTCCAAATAGTGTTTCTTGAATAGTTCTTTCCCATGGATTTATATTGCTATCTGTGTCATATTCTTACATGCTCTTGGATCTGATGCCAGGTCCAATCTTCTATTTCACTTATTTATTTTTATACTCCAACAGTAAAGGCAAGTTATGTTAACTAATAGAATTATAACTTTATTTTAAACATCAGTGAAATTATTCCTAATTTGCTCTTCATTTGTATGTTTGGTCTTTTGCTATCTGTAAGATTTGAATCAGACTTGACTCGCCAAGTTCCCAACCTGCTTGCCAGCAGAGACACTGCTCTTCACAGAGAACTCAGCTCAGTATGAAAGTTGTCCCTGGCAAACATAGGATGTCATGGATGAAATAAGATAGGGCAAGGAATTTTGTAGGTTGTAGGACATCTGGGGACATCTGGAGAGACACAAAAATTTACAGTGGACACTTTAAGGATTTTGCCCATTGAGGTGTAAGACTGCCCAAGAACTTTGACCACAAATGTTTATTAATATCTTTCTGCCTAATGTCCTCTGCTTTCTTTTGATCTCTACAAAAGGGACATATTATTCTCTGTTCAGGGCAGAAGGTCTTATCACTCTCTGCCTGCCTGTGTCCAGACACAATAAATTCCCCGTCATATTGCCTTTACACAAGCCTGGTGGTCTCTGCTGGTACTCCTCCCCCCATATGTTATATGTGTTATACTATCTCTGGACCTTTATTTTCCCATTTGAATTTTAAAACACTATAAACTTTTATCTGGAAAAATGCACACAGCTTCTCAAGCTGCTGAGGCAGGATTACAAAATATGAGGTAAGTATGAGGCCAACTATGGCAACATAGAGAGATCCAATCCCCAAATAAAAAAACAAACAAACAAAATGCAGCATATGAACACAAAGGCACACAAATAATAACTGTATGATATTATGAATTAAAAGAATGTAAACCCAAAAGGAACTATTTCTCAAAGGAAAATAGCAAACATAGTAGAGAGGATAGCTTTGCTCACAAACTCAAGGGATCTACTGTATGATCCAACAATAGCAACCTGCCACCGAATTTTTATTTATTTATTTTTTTTGCAGAACTGGGGATTGGACTCAGGCCCTTGTGGTTGCCAGGCAAGCATTCTACTGAGCCATCTCCCTGGCCCTACAGAATTCTAACTTGATATATAAATTTCAAACACTCTGCAATCTTCTGGGTAACAAGCCACAATGCAGAGCTTCTGTACTGCACCCTCAAAAAAATCAGTCTTTTATTATGGAACTCATTCTTGGAGCTAATGACTAGGTTAATGCACCACACCAACATATACAACTGTACTCAATTGATAAGAACAGCGCATGTAAATATGCTAAAAGTTGTTTCTGAAACATAAAAATGTCAATTAAGCACTGGACCTCGCTCTTCCTCTTGGTCCCATGTTGAACTCGAGTTGGAAGAGGCGAGTCCGGTCTCAAAATGGAGGTAAGAACCACCACCCAGTTGCCCCCAGCCAGACTCTGGCCATTGCTGTCACCACCAGGGGTAGAAGAGCCATGATCCAAAGGTACCAGAGAAGTTGAGGAAGCTGTTTATTGGTGGCCTGAGTTTTGAACTTACTGATGATAATTTAAGAGAAAACACTTTGAGACATGGGGCACACTCACAGATTGTGTGGTAATGAGAGATCCTCAAACAAAATACTCCAGAGGCTTTGGTTTTGTGACTTACTCTTGCGTTGAAGATGTGGATGTAGCAAAGTGTGCTCGAACACACAAAGTTGATGGGTGTGTAGTGGAACCAAAGAGAGCTGTTTCTAGAGAGGATTCAGTAAAGCCTGGTGCCCATATAACAGTGAAGAAAAACTTTGTTGGTGGTATTAAATAAGATACAGAAGAATATAATTTGAGAGACTACTTTGAAAAATATGGCAAGATTGAAACCATAGAAGTTATGGAAAACAGGCAGAGTGGGAAAAAGAGAATTTGCTTTTGTAACTTTTGATGATCACAACACAGTTGATAAAATTTAGAAATACCACACTATTAATGAGCATAACTGTGAAGTGAAAAAGGCCCTTTCTAAACAAGAATAAGAAATCCAAACAATCAATACTTTCTTCAAAAACCTGTACTCCAACAAGATAGACAATGTAAAAGAAATGTCCAGGTTCCTAGATGCATATGGTTTTTTTTTGTTTGTTTGTTTGTTTTTTGTTTTTAACCGGGGATTAAACTCATTACTTGCCAGGGAAGCACTTCTTCTACTAAGCCATCTCCCCAGTCCCACCCTAGATGCATATGAATTACCAGTACTGAATCAAAAAATATAAGAGTTCTATAAAACCCAGTGCCAGTCAATGAAATTGAAGAAATAATTTAAAAATTACTAACAAAAGTCAAGGTCCTGACAGATTCACTGCTAAATTCTACAAGAAATGTAGAGAAGATCTAATGTCACCATTTCTCAAACTCTTCAATGAAATTGAAATAGAAGCAATTTTTCCAAATTCATTCTGAGAAGCAAGCATTACCCTGATACCAAAATCAGAAGAGAAAGATTCAACCAAAAAAGAGAACTACAAGCTAGTATCGCTAATGAACATAGATTTAAATTTTTTCAATAAGATACTGGCAAATAGAATGAAACAAATCATCAAGAAATTTTTACAGTATGACCAAGTAGGATTCATCCCAAGGCTTCAGGGATGGTTCAATGCCTGTAAATCATTAAAAGTAATACACTACATTAACAGAACCAATGGCAAAAACCACACAATTATCTCAATAGATGATGAAGAAGCATTTGACAAAGTTCAACACACATTCATGATAAAAACCCTACAGAAAATTTGAATAGATCTTTACCTCAGTTTGAAAAA